CGGTTGTCGCTGAGTGGCGGGATGCCATCGTTGTTCCAATACCTAAGAAAGGCAACTTGAAAGTTTGTGATAACTGGAGGGGTATCAGCCTTTTGGATGTGGTTGGGAAGTTGTTTGCGCGGATTCTTCAGAACCGGCTGCAGACAATCTCGGAGAAGATGCTTCCCGAGTCACAGTCTGGTTTTCGCAAGGGCAGAGGGTGTGCAGACATGATCTTTGTTGCCAGGCAATTAATTGAGAAATCTTACGAACATGACTCGCCGTTGTATGCTCTCTTTGTCGATTTGCGAAAGGCATACGACTCGATCCCCCGTCCAGCCCTGTGGTGTTTGCTCCAGAAGTTTGGTGTTCCCCCAAGGATGCTCAGTATCATCAAGTCCTTGCATGAGTCGATGGAGGTGAAGGTCCGCATCGAGGGCGGTGTCACTGCTGCCATTAACGTCAACAACGGTCTGCGTCAGGGTTGTACTTTGGCACCCGTCTTATTTAACTTGTATTTCTCTGCAGTCGTTGGGTATTGGCGCTCCATGTGCCCGGACGCTGGTGTTGAGCTGCACTACCGGGTTGGCCGAAAGTTGGTTGGGGACCGCACTGCCAAGTCCCGCCTGCAACGTGATGTCGTCACAGAGTCCCAGTTTGCGGACGATGCTGCAGTGTATGCCACCACTAAGCCGATTTTTGATTGGTGCACGGAATTGTTTATTTCGTGTGCGGCGCGGTGGGGCCTCACGGTCAGTCTATCGAAGACCAAATGCATGACTGTCAATTCGCCCATGAATGAGCCGGTGTCTCTTGGTGAGAGCACCATCGAGGCCGTTGACAGTTTTACGTACCTTGGCAGCGTCATCCATCGGGACGGGCAGTCTTCGCATGATGTGCAGTCCCGTCTCGCCAAGGCTTCGCGTGTGTTCGGCAGTCTCCGTGTCCCAGTGTTTGAGAATCGGTCGTTATCTCTCCGCTGTCGGCACCGCGTGTACATCGCCCTTGTGCTAACGACCCTCCTGTACGGAGCAGAGACGTGGACGCCGAAGGCACCGGACCTGCGCTCTCTCAACACCTTTCATCACCAGTGTGTTCGCATCGTCGTTGGCGTATCCAGGCGGGACCAGTGGGACAACCGCGTCACCTCGGTTACCATGGCCCGAACCCTCGGCATTGACTGTGACGTCGCGGACATCATCCGGGAATATCGACTGCGTTGGCTTGGCCATGTTGGCCGGATGAACGACGACCGCATGCCGAAGCGAGTTTTGTTTGGGGAGCTCCCTGCAACACGCCCTCGCCATGGTCCACGCAAGCGGTGGCGTGACGTCATCGTGGATGATCTCCGCTCCATCAGCCCCCCTGTGCCTTCTGACTGCTGGTTTGATGCTGCCCAGGATCGCTCTGTCTGGAGGCAGATCGCTCATCGTCGTCCTCCCGCCCGTGCTCCTCCTGATCCTGACTCTGGCTTCCGCTGCGCATGTGGAAAGGTCTGCCGTCGTCCCGGGGACCTCAAGCGCCACGCTCCGTACTGCAGAGCTAGCGGATAGTCCCTTCGCTATCATTGCCATCGGCAATGGGCACGTTCAAGGTTCAAGGTATGTGTGTGTGTGTGTGTGTGTGTGAGTGTGTGTGTGATAGGGAATCACTGCCACTGATCTGCATGCATTGCCCAAAGCGTTTCCGACGACAGCAAGACTTGACGAGGCACCAGAAGTCCTGCCAATGGCGGTGCCCTCCAAACTCTGGCACCCTCCGGGGGTGACATTGCCCAAGGGCAAAGAGTTCGTCAAGGAGATTGCACGCCTCATTGGCTTATTTACGGATGGCTCGGGTGCTCGGGCTTTTGCGTGGTCGGCGGTGGTCGTCGCCTGTCATCTGTTGTTCGTGGATCTGCGGCTAGCGACCACAAGACGTTTTTGGCCAAGCGTCTTGGTCTGTGGACTGCCGGTGATCTCTCTCCATTGCTACGGGAGTCCCGATGCATTCAGGCCCATCTCCCTGATGCAGCCGTGGGTGATTCGAGTCCACGTGCTTTGGACGATGTTCGTTTAGCGAACATGGTTTTCAATGACCGAGTTGGCAGTGCTGCCCAATACCTGGATGCTGATAGTGCTGGTGGCGTTCTTCCCCTGGATGAAGAGGTGAGTGGGAAGACTGTTCTAGAGCACCTGCGGGATAGGCACCCTGCTCCCCAGCCGGCTGATCCAGACATCCTACTGGACTGTAGCCCCGACCCCCCGGATCCAGTTATGTTTGAGGCGATAACACCAGCAGCTATGAAGAAGACGATATTGGGAATGAAGGGAGCTGCTGGACCTTCGGCTTTGGATGCGGCTGCCTGGCGTCGGATGGTTGGCATGTTCAAGTCAGCTTCTGACGAGCTCTGTTCGGCCCCTCTCTCGCGTGGCCAAATGCCTGTGCACCGAGAGGCTGGACGCTTTGCACCTGTGCCCGTTTCTGGCAGCGCAACTGATACCACTGGATAAGCGACCTGGCGTGCGGCCCATCGCTGTGGGTGAGGTGTTTCGGCGTGCAGTTGGCAAGGCAATCATGGCGGCGATTGAGAAGGATG